GTGCTTCTGTCCCCGTGGGATAAGGTCCCTAGACTTGGTCTATTTCCTCAGATGCCTGGAGTGAACTAATGCCCAGAAGGACTTTTGTAGATTAGAATCATAGAGTTGGAAGAGACCACAAGGGCCATCCAGTCCAACCCCCTGCCATGCAGGAACTCAAAATCAAACATTCCTGACAGATGGCCATCCAGCTTCTGTTTAAAGACTTCCAAAGAGGGAGACTCCACTACTCTCTGAGGGAAGAGTGTGTTCCACTTTTGAACAGCTCTCACGGTCAGGAAATCCTCCTAATGTTGAAGTGGAATCTCTTTTCCTGTAGCTTGCATCCGTTGTTCCAAGTCCTATTCTCTGGAGCAGCAGAAAACAAGTTTGTTCCCTCCTCAATATGACATCCCTCCAAATATTTAAACAGGGCTATCATATCCCCTCTTAGCCTTCTCTTCTCCAGGCTAAACATACCTAGTTGCCTAAGTGGTTCCTAGTAGGGCATGGTTTCCAGACCCTTCACCATTTTAGTCGCCCTCCTCTGGACACGCTCCAGTTTTTCAACATCCTTTTTGAATTGTGGTGCCCAGAACTGGATACAGTCAGGTGGGGCCTGACCAAAGCAGAATACAGTGGCACTATTATTTCCCTTGATCTAGACACTATACTTCTATTGATGCAGCCTAAAATTGCATTGGCCTTTTTAGATGCGGCATCACACTGTTGACTCATGTTCAACTTGTGGTCTACAACTTGTGGTCAGATTGTATGAAATGCAAAACATGTGAGTATGGTGATGAGGTGACAAGTTCAGTTGAGGGACCACAATCATTAAAAGATGCCCCAGCATTCACCAGGCAGAAGCCACAACAGTTAAACTAGTACAAAACTGAAGGACCAAATGAGATGTGGCGTGGCATACAGGAGTTTTTAAAACAGCATTATCTTAGAGGACTAATAAAAGTCAGCACTGAAACATGTTTAGGTGCAGAGGGAAAGATTTAATCCTCTTCTGCATTGTCACAGTGCTCAGAAAGGCCCCTATCTAAAAATCTTATCTGCACTGACAGGATACCCACACCAACACAAATGCCATTGGCATCACCTGCTCAGGCTTGAGTCCTGGGGGCACCCAAGCATATTCCTCTGAGGCACAGCCCGAGTCATCGTCTGAGATAGAGTGGCGCTGGAAGTCAGAGATAAGGCGGCCCATCATTCTCTCCAAGTCAACAGGCACCATGCGCACAGCATGCTCCTCCCGTGGACACTTGCAGTGTTGGCAGATCTTCCTGCAGACAAAAGAAAAAATTGACAGTGATTTAGTCTTGGAACCACCCAGAGGAGCCGATAATAAACAAGCCACCCAGGAGCACACACACCTCTTATGGCTCCCGAAATAATCCTGTAATACAGGGCTGAGGAACAAGCAGCAACCCTTCAGATGTTACTGGACTGCAACTCCCATTAGTCATAAGTAACATGGCAAATAACGAGGAATACTGGGAGTTACAGTCCAGCATCTGAAAAGCTATACTTTCTTCACCCCTGCTATAGCACAAGGGAAAACATTATTCCTCTAGATTTTGGTTTCTAGATGGTAGAAGTCATAAAATATAAGGAACAACACAGCAGAATTCTGACAGACACTGAGAAATCCTAGATGTATCCCACCACCATCACTTATCCTTACATTCATCCACCCCATATGTAGACCCAGAGATGCTAAAAGGCTGTCTTAATGTAAATGTCAGGAGCCAGTTATAAAGAAAAAACTGGTTGTTATGGCCTGAACCCACTTGTTAAAAAAATCAATGGGATTTATAAAATAAATGAAATGAAATAAATATTTTGCCCCCTTACTGACTCACCATTGAACAACTGATTCAATGGGTCTATTTTAGTTGGCATTAACCAACAGGATTCTGGTTTATGGCTCACCACAATGCATGACAACGTGGTGGCTGGGGGACAGCTGAAAAGAAACATTGCTAACCCATTCTAACCCCATACCAAGTTCTTTTATTGCTTTTTCTTTTATCCTATTTATTATAAATGTTTCTATGTCAATCCTTCAAGTGAACTCAAAGGGCAGCTTACAATACAAGGTTTCTCAACTGGGGGCCAGCACGTGACTGTATTGCATATCCCTTGAACCTTACAATGCCAAGGTGTTTTGATGCTGCTTGTGCATGCTTCCCACCCATCGCATGACATGCCGAAGTCCACTGTGAGAATTATTCAAACCCCCAACTCAAAATTGTCTACAGGGACTGAAAGTCCAACAGCCTGTGTACTCCTTGTATACAATGGGGTCAACAACTCATTAGTGACAGAGAAGGGAGGAGATTCCCAGGCTCCCCTTCCCAGGGTTCATGACAGTCTCTATGGGCAGCATGCAGAGAAAGGAAAGGTTGGTCAAACAGTGGCACAGCAAGACAGGAGTGGTGAGTGCAAAGATGCAGAAGTGTGCGAGATGGGGGGAAATGGAGCGAGTGATGGAAAGAGACAGAAAGGAACCGAGAGTCTCTTCCACTCTAGGGCTTTCTTGCTGAAATGCAAATTTAAGACAAGGTTAGGAGAAATGTGCATGTAAAAGGGAGAAAATGATAAATCTGGAAGGAATGTGTTTGGAAGAGGAAGAAAGAGGGAAGAAGCGTGAAGAAGAAAATCAAGAGACAAAAACTATGTAAGAGTGTTAAGAGAATAAGAATCTGTAAAATGGCAAAAAGAAAAAGATGCAGGGTGGAGTAATGTTTTAACGCATCTGAATCGCTGTTCAGAAAGCTTGAGAGGCGGTATTAAGTATAGAATTACTAAAATCAACAGAATCAAACAGAGGAACAAAAGGAGTACAAAGCAGATTTGATCAAAATCAACAAGAGCCAGCTATAAAAATGAACAGAAGGAGGGGGAAGAGACATGTGCCACCCAACACTGTACATGTTTAGTCAACAGTAAACCTTGCTCTCTTTGATGGGGTTTACTCTCTACATGCACTGAGGACTGCAGCCTGAGGGCCTCCCCCAAAAATGAGAGAGAAAGAGAGAAAAAAGCAAGAGAGAAAGCCAAGATAAACATAGGATAAAGCAAGATAGCACTGTGCCAAGAGTGCTTGTGCAGGCCCACAAAGCCTAGGGTGAAGGCAAGAAAAATCACACAGAGGGTGAAGGAAGATTTGGTAGAGTGAGGCAGGGAGGGGGTAGAGCAATTTCCTACCTCCATCCATGCACTAGGAAGCCCGGGCACTGCTCCCCGCATGCCTGACATGGTTGGCCCCGGTCAGGATCCTCCACCTCAGGCAGCTGGTGTGAGACAGAGAGGCAAGAGATCAGCCACCAAGATCCACAGTCCCTGACATCACCAGTGTCACCAGCATGCTCCCATCCCACAGGACGCACTCCAGTGCAAAGCCGGCATCCACCCATTCTCCAGTACGTTTCACCAGCTTTGCCAGGCATGCCAAGAGATCATCACCAGCACCTTCTCAACCAGCTTGTTCTCACTGATTACTATCAACAGGTAAAACCACCATCACCACCTCTATTCATAGAAACTGTGCCAATAGCCTGACTTGCATCCTTTGGTCACGAATCCTGTAAAACCAGTAACAAATCATCAGTACCATTCACAAGTTCCCATTTGACATGGACTTTTCAGTAATGCTGTTACAACAGAATATAAACATTTGCAAATACAACAGTAATCTACTTTTGGGCTTTGTTGTTGTCGTTGTTGTGTGCCTTCAAGTCATTTCTGACTTATGGTGCCCCTAAGGTACCTAACATGGTTTTTTGGGGGGCAGGTTTTTTCAGATGGGGTTTGCCACTGCCATCCTGTGATGCTAAGAGAGAATAACTTGCTCAAGATCATCCATTGTATTTCTATGGCCGAACAGGGATTAGAACTCTGATCTCCAGAGTCGTAATCCAACGCTCAAACCGGTGTGCCATATTGGCCCTCTTTGGGGCTTTGACATTAGAGTCAGCCTTTATCCATGGATTTTTCATCCATGGATTTCACCATCAGTGGCTTGAAAATATTCAAAAATAATATAAATAATACTTTAAAAATTCAAATATAAAGAAAGAAATCTTGTTTTTGCCATTTTATATAAGAGACACCATTTCACTATTGTATTGCATATAATGGATCCATGGATTTTGTCATCCATGGGGTGGGGGTTCCTGGAATCAAATCCCAGCAGATTCCAAAGGCTCACTGTACTATTTTTGGACTACAACACTCACAATCCCCCAGCCAGCATGACTCCTGGCTAAAGGATTCTGGAACCTGTTTTCCCTACAGGTAACTTTTCCAAAGTAGAAAAGTACAAAGTAGCCCTGAAACCGATCCCAAAAATCTAAAGGAGAAACTCTCTTAGGTCTGGAGACATTTTTACAAGGCCCTTTGACGTGTTGCTGTCACGATGCAGAACCTGTACCAACATGGACAGCCAGGATGCATGTGTGTGCTTGTCAGGGGCAAAATATATTTCATCTACTGGTCCTTCTGATGGCCTGACAGAAGCCAAACTTGCAAACCTGTATGGACAGAGTATTTGTGGGGGGGAAATCCTGTTCCCACTTGTGCTGAGAGAGAGGGGTTTTATGGAAACAGATTGCAATCGAGAACCAGGAGGGAATTGTAGGGAAACTTCTGGGTGCTGGAAGCCAACCACAGGCTAGAACCTGCCTCCTGCTGAATTCAGCAAGACACAAAGAGTCCGGATGTTGGCTTCCTGCCATGACAGGTAGCTGAGAAAAGTGGGCAGCAAAAAAGCAACCTTTTTTTGTGGGGAAGGGGAGAAGAGAATGGCCTTGCCAACTGTGACATCGGGCTGAGCAGAAAATTCCCCTAACTCTCCATTTTGGTGGCTTTTCTTCCATTTTGCTTCTTGGGCACAGATCTCATCATGCCAAAGAACAGCTAAGAGCACAGAAAGGGGGACAATACATTACTGGAGGAGGAGAAGGTGCCAGGAGCCGCTCCTACTTTTCCTTGGGCAAGAATCACCGAAGCAGTGCCTAGAAATGGGCAAGAACAAGTGTTATGTGTGTGTTTTAATGGCTGAACAGAACAACAGAGAGAAAGATGAAGGAATCAAGAAGGAGAGAGAAGAAAACAGGGTTGGAGAAAAGAAACCAGATTCAAAAAAACAAACACTTGATTTAATTTTTTTTTGCATGTTTTAATGAAAAATGTGTGAATCCTGCTTATTATATTAATAGTGTGAAACACTATTTTATGTATTAGAAAGCTTCATCAACCATGTTTTAATGCTTTCTAACATTAACAATACAAAATTATTAGGCTTTGATATGATTCACATCTTTCAATAAAACATATTTTTTACTGCTTATTATTCCTATTAAATCTGACACTATGTAGTAGATTATACATAATAAGACATACAAAGTACTCTCAGAGTTGTTTCGGTTGAACTTACGTTAACTGAAGAATTTATTTCTGAATGGCACTTCTTGCACTAAAGTACTTAAAAAGAAGCAACTGGCACTGGATACAGGAAAATAGTTATAATAGCCAGAATTTTTTAAAGAAGAAAATAGTAATCAATTTAAAAAATGGAATAGTTTAAAGCAGCCAACTGGTAGAAAAGAACAGCTGGGCAGCCTCCATGAGAGATTTTCCCTATCAAAGTCTGAAGTAGCAGCTTTAACGTGATTTTATATGTCTTTCTCCCCCCGCCCCCCGCATGATTGAAATGTGATTTCAAATGTATTTTTTCAGTGCACCTTAGGTATGAAAAAATAGCATATCACTGTCAAAAATAAGTAAAAATAAATTAACTATCCACGATCTCCACCCAGACAGAATTTTATTCTGCAAACCAGTTGTTAGCACAGAAAGTTGTAATGTGTGCTGGAATATTTGCATCGTTATTGTCCCAATCTCAACAGAAAAGTGTTCCATTAAGAATAGGAAGCATTCTCTACATGCTCAAATACACCAACTCCTCTATCAACGTAAAAAGAACATTTTACCATTTTAAGATAAGGATGCTCAGCTTAACCTTAGAATAACTTTATCCTTAGGTCTTTTAGCTCTGAGAGGAACTGCACTCTGCACATGCTCATAGGTGCTACAGGACAAGGACAAGGCACAACATCCCAGCTGAAAGAGGCAAAATAGAATCCAAAACATATCATGCAGTGTCATTAACAAACTGCACAAAATCCCAAATGGCAATGTGCTTCATTTTCCCCCTCACATCTGCTAACTACTGCTATTGCTGCTAGATCAAATATCTTCCAACTTGCCTACAGCTTAGAAAGGATTTGGGGGATGAGATGGGGAGGGGAGATC